TGGAACTGTAGAACTAGGCGAGTGGTGGAACTATAAAACTAGGCGAGTGGTGGAACTGTAGAACTAGGCGAGTGGTGGAACTGTAGAACTAGGCGAGTGGTGGAACTGTAGAACTAGGCGAGTGGTGGAACTATAGAACTAGGCGAGTGGTGGAACTATAGAACTAGGCGAGTGGTGGAACTATAGAACTAGGCGAGTGGTGGAACTATAGAACTAGGCGAGTGGTGGAACTATAGAACTAGGCGAGTGGTGGAACTATAGAACTAGGCGAGTTGTGGAACTATAGAACTAGGCGAGTGGTGGAACTATAGAACTAGGCGAGTGGTGGAACTATAGAACTAGGCGAGTGGTGGAACTATAGAACTAGGCGAGTGGTGGAACTATAGAACTAGGCGAGTGGTGGAACTATAGATCTGGGCGAGTGGTGGAACTATAGATCTGGGCGAGTGGTGGAACTATAGAACTAGGCGAGTGGTGGAACTATAGAACTAGGCGAGTGGTGGAACTATAGAACTAGGCGAGTGGTGGAACTATAGAACTAGGCGAGTGGTGGAACTATAGAACTAGGCGAGTGGTGGAACTATAGAACTAGGCGAGTGGTGGAACTATAGAACTAGGCGAGTGGTGGAACTATAGAACTAGGCGAGTGGTGGAACTATAGAACTAGGCGAGTGGTGGAACTATAGAACTAGGCGAGTGGTGGAAGTATAGAACTAGGCGAGTGGTGGAACTGTAGAACTAGGCGAGTGGTGGAACTATAGAACTAGGCGAGTGGTGGAACTATAGAACTAGGCGAGTGGTGGAACTATTATTTTCCGAAATTCTGTCATACTTATCACTGCCTGGACTTATCAATGTGGGCGTGGCTCAGTGATTAGACCAGCAGACTCTGGCCTAGTGGCGTATACAGGTGAAATTTAAAAACCTTTAATACATTTTATCCTTCTATTCAACCGGCAAAAACTGGAAAGCTCAGTTTTCTATTTTTCGTTTACTTGGAAGTTTGTATTAATTTTTTTTTAAATCGAAATCAAGAATTCAACGTTTTACAGTTTCCTGGGTCGGAAAAAATAGTTGTGCAGTCCTGTCCGGATGTGCCTGTTGGGTGAACTTGATAACCCCATTACATTTCATTAGGTGGACATTACATTAGGTCGACGAAACTACATAAATATGACAGTGTATAGTATTAGGTTTCTATCATCAGTCGAGATATTTCGGGTAACCAGAATTTGTACTAGGCGAATGATGCAATATGCATCTATTTTTGGACGATCCTATCAGAAATATAGGTCAATTGCGAACAATTTTCGATGTGTTAAAAAGACAATATTGTCGAGTTTTCACTTTGGCGAATGACGCAAGCTGCCTCTTTGTTTACACGATCCAATCAGAAAAATCTAAAAACACCATTGGTACGCATTGATGAGATCCTCTTCAAATATTCCGTCAGCATTGCTTATGACGCGTGGGGCGAGTACAGTAATACAAATATCCAAGAAGGTTTAGGGAAGCCAAGTCCCCCCCTTTTTTTTTTAAGAGAAGTTCATTTTGAATACAAGTACTAATTTAAATAAGAACAGTGCCTATTTTATTTTTACTTTAAACATAAAAGCTGATTTGAATAAGAAAAAATAAAGAATATATAACTAAGGGCAGATTACAATAGAAAATGCAGGATTTAATAAACCGGGAGTGATCTCCCCTAAACTTTCTCGAATATTCTTATATAAAATAACAGGGGATGGAAACTCGGGCTATAGACATAATTTTTAATCCATTTTAAATACTTAAAGTTTTAAAAATAGAATAAAATCTCGTAGACAAATTAATTGCACACCAAGTGAACGCAAATAAAAAAAAGCGCATAATAGTGCGCAATATTATTAGTACTTTTAAAATTTACATTAGTTTTTTGAGAAATCGGAAGTAGCGTAAATTACTACTTCCAGTCAACGGAAATTACTCAAAATTTAACAGAAGGTAGAGAATTAGATCTTTTACTTACATGTGAAATTTCATTTATCTATCTGAAATAGTACTCAAGTTATAGGCTTTTAAAAAATTCAAAGTAGGAAAAGTACCACTTCCGGTTATCGGAAATCGCTCAAAAGTTGATACGGATCTACGATTTTGATAAAATACTTATATATGAAATTTCATCAACCTAGCTGTAACGGTACTCAAGTTATCGTGTTTACACACGGACAGACACACACACGGACAGACACACACACACACAGACATACGGACAAGATTGCAAAATTATGTTTTTCCGTATCAGTGAGGTGTAAAACGTCGAGATTTGTAAAAATCTCGATTTTTTTTTTGCACGATTACAATACTTTCTCTATACTACGTAGGCCTATATACGAGAAAGTAAAAAGCAGCAAAGATTAAATATTCTGGATAAGATAGTGATGCAAGAATCTTATGACAAGGGAATTGTGAGTAGGAAAAATTTGCTTTTCAACTTTTAAAGACAAAGTAATATAATGTGAGTGACAAAAATGCGACAACTTTCAACGATAACATTGAATCCCCGACAATTGTCAACTTTACATCCCAGTCAAATGTCTTATTCCCGCCATAAGATGCCAGCTAAAGCTAGAGCCCGCCATAGGATGTCAGCTAAAGCTAGAGCCCGCCATAAGATGTCAGCTAAAGCTAGAACCCGCCATAGGATGCCAGCTAAAGCTAGAGCCCGCCATAAGATGTCGGCTAAAGCTAGAGCCCGCCATAAGATGTCAGCTAAAGCTAGAGCCCGCCATAAGATGTCAGCTAAAGCTAGAGCCCGCCATAGGATGCCAGCTAAAGCTAGAGCCCGCCATAGGATGCCAGCTAAAGCTAGAGCCCGCCATAAGATGCCAGCTAAAGCTAGAGCCCGCCATAGGATGCCAGCTAAAGCTAGAGCCCGCCATAAGATGCCAGCTAAAGCTAGAGCCCGCCATAAGATGTCAGCTAAAGCTAGAGCCCGCCATAAGATGTCAGCTAAAGCTAGAGCCCGCCATAAGATGTCAGCTAAAGCTAGAGCCCGCCATAAGATGCCAGCTAAAGCTAGAGCCCGCCATAAGATTTCAGCTAAAGCTAGAGCCCGCCATAAGATGTCAGCTAAAGCTAGAGCCCGCCATAAGATGCCAGCTAAAGCTAGGGCCCGCCATAAGATGTCAGCTAAAGCTAGAGCCAGCCATATCTATTATCTAAGCCCACCGTATAACCCGATGCTACTAATCTTAGTTTAAAAATTCAGGTGGAAAAAAAAACTGAATCTTTTCTCACCTCAGCATGCACATAACAGAGATGGGGGAAGGGGGGAGGGGTAAAGGAACTCGTTTATTTATCTATGGCATTAGGCATTAAATATGGTCACGTGGCCTAATTTAAACAATAGTTGTAAACACCCACGCGCATTACACAGCACGCAGAATATTGGTCTACTCACGAGCTAGGTACAAAATAGTTAGGTAAGCACGCACATTATGAGTATATAGAACCACTATGCCATCTAGTTACGTAGGTAAGTCCACAATGTTGAGTGCAATGGTACTATACCAACACCTAACTTTAGCTCTACCAACACCTAACTTTAGCTCTACCAACACTAAACTTTAGCTCTACCAACACCAAACTTTAGCTCTACCAACACCTAACTTTAGCTATACCAACACCAAACTTTAGCTCCACCAACACCAAACTTTAGCTCTACTAACACCTAACTCTCTACCAGCACCAAACTTTAGCTCTATAAGCACCTAACTTTAGCTCTATCAGCACCTAACTTTAGCTCTATCAGCACCTAACTTTAGCTCTATCAGCACCTAACTTTAGCTCTATCAGCACCTAACTTTAGCTCTATCAGCACCTAACTTTAGCTCTACCAACACCTAACTTTAGCTCTACCAGCACCAAACTTAGCTCTACCAGCACCTAACTTTAGCTATACCAGCACCGACTTTAGCTCTACCAACACCTAACTTAAGCTCCACCAACACCAAACTTTAGCTCTACCAACACCTAACTTTAGCTCCACCAACACCGACTTTAGCTCCACCATATCTGTCACATTCACGTCACCCGCCACTGGAGATGATGTTTTGATTTATGGCCAACTATTTTAGCCAATAAAAATTTGGCATTTTATCTGAGTCGAATGAAACGAAAGCCTAGGCAGGATGATTTCATGCCATAAACCTGTCTGTATTTTATCTCCCCCATTCAAACTCGCAGATACACCATAAAGCGCAGCATGTAGCGAATCGTGAGTAGCCATAAAGAGCATCATGTAGCGAGTAGCTTGTGGCCACTTTTCTTTACGAGCCATAAACAACAGAGGACTTACATCGAAACATCCAAGCTATTATTAATGCGGCTCTTTCAATCCTTCGCTCTATCGTTTTATCTCTTCTCCCTCCCTCCCCCTCCCCAACTTTACCTTTCTCTACCGTCCTCCAGGTGCCACGGCGAGCAGACAGCGAGCGGTTCTATGGGCTCTCTACCAGTGACGGTGTATTATTATCACTGGTTTTACTGGCGACGATTGTGTTGGCGGAGAAAACCAGCCCTACACACTCACGAAATTTGATCACTTATGTGAGATCACTGCACGTGCGCAGGTTAGCTAAATATAGACAAGCTCCTACTGTTTGAGTGACAACATTTCTTCTTTCACCAAAATATTCGCCTGTATTCCAAGAGCCGGCTAAACTAAATCCCATTGACTCACTAGAAAACCCCACCACGAGACCAATTTCAACTGAATGGAGGTGAGCATTAATCTAGGTGGTGGCTTCAGGGTGGATTGGCTATTTTAATTATTTTAAAATTAGTACTGTATGTTCCCATTAAACTCATAGTCCCATTTTTGCACATTGTCTCCCATAATGCAAACGGCCCCACCAAGTTCTTGACCCACGGATACAAATGTTCCCTCATTAGGTTCATGGTCCCACTATGCTCACGGTCCCGATAGGATCAGGTGTCTACAAGACAAAGGTACTCACCACCAAGAAGCGTGGACAACCTGGAGCACGGACACGAAGATGACCAAGGTACTGATCCATGACTTGATGCTGGCTGCCATCGTGTGCTCTCGCGGGTCAGCCGGGGCAAAGCCCCTGCTTTGATGGGCGATCCTGGCCACCTTTGCGTGTCACCCCGTCCACAAATGTGGCCCCACTAATCGCCTCGGGTCTTTGGCCATCTTGTATGCTGAAGGAAAAAATATAATGTTACAGCAGCAGTGAAGGTCGTACTACCAGTACAATCTATAAAATAAGCGGCCAGGTAATGTGTCATTCCGTCATCGCTATAGACTAGAGCCATAAAAGTAAACACCAACACATGACGTGATTTTACTTGCATCGCATTGTCTTAGTATAATAATCAGGGTTCTCCAAACTTTTCAGCCCGAGGGCCGCATTGACTATCAAATATCAGTTCGGGGGCCACAGTTTCTCCCCCCCCCCCCCCCCGGAATAAGGTATACCCCTACTAAAATATATACAAATTACAAGTGCCCCCCCCCCCCTGAGAAAAAAGTCTGAAAGAAACGCTGTCGGGAGCAGACAACACACACGAGGTCCAAGTTTGTTCTCAAATTGTTCTTCACGTATTTCATTCTTGAAATGTTTGTCCACGCAGGTATGTTGTTCCAAAATTTTAAAGGTTCTTTGATGCAAAAGTTTTAATGTTAGGAAAGTCTTCGTTGGGCAAAAACTTATTTAAAAATGTTTTTAAAAAAAAAACCCATCCGCCTTTCTTTGAACTTGTCTCTATGAAGGTCATTTCCTTGCAATTCAATGACCTTCAGCTGTAGTTCATTAGGGCAACTGGCCACATCTGCTTCAAATGTGTTTTGAAACAGTCTCACTTCACTTCTGCATTTGAATCCAGGTCAGAAAACCGCTTTTGAAACTGCAGCTGAAGGTCTTTGATGATCTTGCATGCAAATGACGTGAGAAACTTAGCCATGAAGACCTAGCACTGCTGAAAGTACATTAAGTTGTTGGCCTGTACTTGTTCCAAAAACAAGATGTTTGGATCTGAAGGCCTTTAGGTGGGTGTATAGATCAGAAACTAAATTTTCCTCTCCTTGTAGTTTTAGGTTCAGAAAATGTAAATGACTATTATATCTGCAGCAAAGACCATTTTCCATACCCACTCTTCATCAGACATAAATGGCCGTGGCTTGCCTTACTTTTCAGGAAATCACTTATTTCCTCTCTTAACTTAAATACTCTGCTCAGAACTTTCTGGCAACTTAGCCACCTTACTGCTGTGAAATATGGTAAATGTTGCGATTCTGTGATTGGATCTATAAAGATATCTCTGAACTATGTTTGGACCTATGTGACCTTATTAAATTCACAATTTTCACCACATGATTCAATACAAAGCTAATGTCCATATATTTAACACACAAAGATTGTTGGTGAAACATACAGAGCAAGAACATTAGAATGTTTTTCTCATTCGCGTGTCCAACTAAGCATTTCTTTATGCCACTCATATACTTTCCTCCCTCAACAGTCAGTTAACTGAGTATAGTCTAGTTAGTTGCACAAACCAAGAAAATATGACGTCACAGTCTCAAAACCTTTCGTTTACAAAGAAAATAATTACGTCTAAAGCCGTCGACACATAGCGCATCAAACGGCTTTAAAATAGATATCACGTGATTCCGTAACCCGTTTTAACTTTAGACGGAACGACTTGATGCGGCCGCTTACGGCAGATTAATTTTTTCTTCAAGACCCCTTTTCTATATGTCAAAACAAAAGCCACTTAAAAAGGTAAGTTTTCAAAAATTGTATTAAAATATTTTAACACTCGGACTAGCTCTGTATTTGTTAGGATTATTTTAATAATCCATTTTTCTGCTTAAGTCTAATTTTTTGTAATATTTTACGCTTTAGCAGACTACGAACTTCGTCTCACAAAGCAATCCTCCGAATGACACTATTTAAACGGTATCGATACTTTTTAAACCCCTTTCCGCGCCGATTGATTGATTGTAAAATATAATAAATTTTATGGCATTGACGCTTTAAAAAAAAAAGAATACTTACAAAATTGGAGTTTAAATGTTGCTAACGTAATTATCTTGTGTTAAATGTTAATACAAAACACATTTATACAAATATGTAACGTTTTGAAGGCCCGCTCTAGTTGTAACTAATCCGCTGTAATCATGATCGAACTGGGAATCGATCTATTTAAATAAAATACTGTAAAAAGATACACACTTAAACTAAACATGGATTGAGTGTAATATATTTATCTATTTAATTAAATGCACTAGTAGACTTCTTTTTGTTAATAATTAACAATGTAGAAAATATTGAAAATGGTCTCACAAAGTAGACCAATACTAGTAATATCGATACCGCTTAACACGCATCTCCGTTCAGCCTTAAATCTAGTTTTTAAGCCCCGAACTTCCTAGATAATTAATTAGCTCTAAAAGCTTTATACATGATTAATATTGATAAAATTAAAATAAGGGATTCAATTATTGTTTAAATTGTAAGGTTCTTGTTAATAAAACACCATATTGCATGTCTGTCAACCTATTAAGTAGGCCTATTAAATATACTATATATTTTAAAATAGGCATATCGTTTTCGACTTACTAAAGCTTATTATTACTCAGTTGTTCTTTTTAAGCACTCACAAACACACTAATTTTTGTTTAACTAATAACTGTAATAAATATATTAATATATGTACTATTATTAAAGCTTAATTAACTTTATTAAGTCTATAACTTGATATATTAGTAGTAACATATTTTTTGCGGACGTTACAAAAACCAGTCACTCTTTTAATTAGTGGTATCGATGCCCTTCTTCAAAAGGTCCGTGTATTTTTTTTTTAATAATAAAATATATTATAAGCAGAACTATTAACTTTTTTTTTAGCTATCCATTGTCAAAAATTAAATAGTATAACTATAATTAACTACTTATGATGTTATTATTTATAGGCAAGACAGAATGGGGAAGAAGAATGCCTTGAATGTAGTAAATCTCTATCAAAGGTATTCTGATGTAAGTGGTGAAGTGCGAATAGGCAATGTAGTTTATTTGTACTATATAAAAAATAAAAATATCTCCAAGGTACTTGATGAGCTATTAGATAGAAACAGACATATAAAAACAACAAAAAATTATTTTGCTAACAGAAACTCTGTAAACAGAATCATAAAAAAATTCATGCTCTTAAAATCAAACCCTGAAAGAAATTGGCAACAGTTGGTTAGTTATTTCAATGAACCCTATGTAGGAATAAACACACAGGCAACACCACTATCTGTGAGAAAAGGTTAAAGCTTAAATGAAACAATGGAGTGGCTTGATGCAAAAAGTATCAATGAACAAAATCAGCTAATTGATTTAGCTATAACTGAAGGTGCTCGCAGGCAAAGATCACACAAAACCCAACAGCCAGAAATTGAAATCATACAAAGAAGAGAAGAATCAAGAAAGAAAATAAAGAAAGAAAGAAGTTAAAGATAGATGTTGATAAGTTGGCAAAAGGTCAGTTATTTATTAATGATGAAATATTCTGCAATGTGGAGACCAGACAAAAACAAGTGTTTACTAAATTATCAATGGAGAGGATATGACTGGCCAACTGCTGAAACACAAGTGGGAATGTATAAATGACAATGACACCTTGTTTTTTGGTAGAATAGTCTTAAGACTCACAGCTAGTGAGACAAAACTTGATAGATTTGTAATTGCTTATTGAAAGTTATTGGTCAATTGATGAGGAAAATAGTGAAGACTCAGAACTCAATGTAGCTACTTTAATAACTGATATGATCAGTAAGCATCTGTTGTTTGAGTTTTAATTTACAAGTTCCTTTAGAAGTTATATTGTACAATGTTTAATAAACTAAAGCTATATCCATTGCAATGTTCCTTTAGAAGTTATATTGTACAATTTTTAATAAATGCAATGCACAAAGTTAGTCTCTTTATAAAACACAAGAATTTATATATACATTTTTGTGACTGCTCCTTGTTCAACAAAATAAAATTCTAAGTTCATGTTTGTCAATATCATCTAATAATAATATATGCATCTGATTAGCAGGACTGATCAGATATGTAGTTATGATATATCTTATTATTCCTGCAAATCAGATGCATGTATTAAAATATTCATAAATAATCAGCCTTTAGCTTATTCATTTGACTTTGAGACTACACATCCTACACTGTACACAAAACTAGCCAGATTATTGCTTCTATTCACACATTACTCCTAAAATTAAAAGCTTGTAAACTTTGGGACTTTCCTATATATTAAATAAAATAAAACAGACACACTCTGTTTATGAATTTGTTTTATTCAATTTTTTAATGTAGGCATAAGTTTCCATGTATGCTATAATAAATAGTTTAAACTACTCTTTATTGTGCCATGATTTAAACCATTAATAATAATATCCATGTTTACTTGTTTAGGCCTATTTTTAATGAACCAAGTTTTGTCATGATGCATATTTTTTTTAAAATGTCTCTCAATAGATCTAGAATCTAGAACGCGCCCGTCGTAGATCATGAACAATCAGGGTTGAATTTTGGAGTAGAGCTAGATCTTTGTTGTTTTAAATTAATTTAATTTTAATGCACCATGCATGTGTCCGTAAAAAATTCAATAATCGTGAATTTCATTTAAATCTAGATTCTAGACTTAGATCTAAGTCTAGTTAAACTTTTAGAGTTTAGAGATATGATGGCGATGGGGATTCTAGATTCTAGGGTAGAGTCTAGCTATTTAGTATTTAGTACTAGATCTAGGTACTAGTTAACTTAAGTTAACTAGTAGAGTCTATTTAGATCTAGATCTAGACTCTAGTAATTAATTAGTGTTAAACGGTAAACCTTCTTAATTTTAGGCTTTTTTTATTATTAAGCTTTCATTGACAGTTTAATCTAGCTTTGGTATTTCCTTAAGCGTAAATATATTTAAAGCTAATAAACTAGATTGTTTAAAAACATTTTATTACAATTTATTTAGTCTTACGTAACCTACTCTCTTCGCTCTAGACTAGACGCGCGCAAAGTTAAACTGCGATAATGTAATAATTTTGAGAAATTATAATTATGCCTTTTATTAGAAGATTTTCACATTCGCTTTTTTCGTACTCTCGACGTGACCAACTTTTGGTTTCATTCTCCATAGGCTTAGTTGTCCCC